CTAACGTTGTAAACCCAATGCAAACGCCGGCAGAAAATCTTGGGTGTTCGCAACTTTTGAACAATTTTGCTCCTAAACAGGGGCAAAACGGTTCAGACAGTGCAAACCATTTTTCTTCCCCTAGCCTACTTTTGCCAAACAAGGTAACTGAAAATCTTTCGGCTCCCAACGTTCCAAAAGAGTTACAATCTGAACAACTTCTAAAAAGCCCAATTGAGAACCCCAAAGAAGATGACCCTCCAAGTCAAACAACATCACAAGCTATCGATGAAATTTTCCCAGCAAAAGATGACTATTCACTGGCATTTGTGTTCCAAGAAGGGATGAAGCACTGTACCAGGGATGTCAACGAAAGGCAACAAACCACCAGGAACCTCTCCAAGGAAGAAAATTTCACTGGTGGTCTACTGATGGTAGAACCATCCTCAGAAGCAACCAATCAAAGGGACAAGGGTTCCCTGAAGATCATAGACTTGTTGAAACAGAATCTGCCCAACTGTCCAAGTCAAAGGAGAAAAGAAGGTGACGGCCAACCCAAAAGAAAACTTCAAGTTGCAAGTCCAGGCACCCCTGGATACAAAGAAAATAATAAGGCAACAGCTAGTCTTCTTCTTGCCACCGCATTAGTCAGCAGGACCGATGAAAATTGCTCGGAGAGATCGCATACTCCCCTACCAAGTTCGGTTTCTCCACCAAGTGTAACTAGGTTAGTCCTAAAGAAATTAATATAATCAGAATCTTTGCTATATATAGGAATTATCTAGTGAACTAATGTTAATCAAATGATAATTGTAGGGGAACTGGAGGTCCTATAAGGTCGCGAGCGAGAACATTCCCGGTGAAGCTTTATGGGGAGACTTCTCATGGGAGCTCAAGCAACAGGCGCTTCAATTGGAACTTGTTTGCATCTCTTCTTTTAAATCGGTTTTACATTGAGAATCTGCAGTCTTGTTTGCCTAGAGAGTATTCTATTTATCAATCAATTCATTTTTTTCTTCATTTTTTGGTGACGGTTAAAAAATTGTAACCTTTCAGGAGGTATGGAGGCATATCTAGTGCCACCCCTCTTTATCATAGGGCTTCCTTTTTCTCCCCTCACATACGATTACATACAGACACACACTAAATAAACAGTTTCTCTCCCTTAATACATGTCAAAATGCCTATTTGCATTTAATTTTCATTGAATCTCATATAACAACTGATTTTCAGGCTCTCAAGAAGCGGTTCTGCACTTGGCTCCAATAGTAACTGGCAAACCATTCCATCAGGATACAATCCGGGGTCTGAAAGCCAAAAATGGCAAAATCTATCGGGGAGCAGTAATGTGGAAGGTACAACTTATTAATTTCTCATAGTTAACTAATTCTGCTAGGCCTTTTCTTTTTACTTGTATTAGACAACGTAGGTTAAATCTCAGTGGAAATTCTTTTGAAGGGAACATGGTAAACTCTAAGCTGATCGACGCACCTGCGACTTTTGATAGTGGGGAATGCCAGAAGACTAAGCAAGTTGATCATCACGCAATGGAAAACCAGGGAACCAAAATAGATACAAGTAATGCTGTAAGTCTGGAGTTAGGAGAGAAGGAATTCAAAACTATGGTCAACTGGCCGGAGCATCATTTGATGGGAACAGATCGATTTGGATTTGACGTTTGACAATGATATGCTTGGCAAAAATGGTCTTTGTTCCTTGTTTTTGTAACATGGTTCATGTTTTTATGGCCTACAATCCCCTTCTTCCCTTTCCTGCTTTTCGTTCCCCAGCTAAAGAACTCAGGTCATAAAGAAAAAGAATGTCATGATGTTAGTCTTTGATTGTCGACTATATAAAAAAGATATCAGGTGATCTTTATAATATGATTGCATGTAAAATTGTTGTTGGTGTGAATGTGGTGTTGTTGGCTTCCCAATATTCTTTGATTTTGTACAACACACGGGTAGGTGATCAACAGCTTAGCTCTCCCCTTCAGTGGCCGCTGGTGATCTTTATAATATGATTGCATGTAAAATTGTTGTTGGTGAGAATGTGGTGTTGTTGGCTTCCCAATATTCTTTGATTTTGTACAACACACGGGTAGGTGATCAACAGCTTAGCTCTCCCCTTCAGTGGCCACTGAAATAGTGGCAAACGGTCTGATGAAATCAACTCGGCAAAGCCAGATTAATAGTAGTACTGGCCAAAATCGGCAACCTGAACAGCTTCTGTCAGTACAGCCATCCCAGCAATCTCCAGAAAAAGTCTTTTACAAGCAAGTCCCATATCAAAACTCCACCTCATCTTTTTCTCCAGGCTGCAATATCATCCCCGGGTCTTCAGTTAACCCTTCCTTTTTCGATGAGGGCCAGAAAAGTGAGTATGGTATCAATGAAAGTTCTAACGAACCAAATCCCAGTGGAAATTCTTTTGGAGGGAATATGGTAACTCTAAGCTGATCAAAGCACCAGTGACTTTTGACTGTTGGGAATGCCAGCAGACTAAGCAAGTTGATCATCACGCAATGGAAAATCTGGGAACCAAAATAGATACATGTAACGCTGCAAATCTGGAGTTAGGAGAGAAGGAATTCGAAACTATGGTCAACTGGCCGGAGCATTGTTTGATGGGAACCGATCGATTTGGATTTGACGTTTGAAATGTATGCTTGTCAAAAATGGTCGTTGCTCTTTGTTTCCGCAACATGGTACGTGTTTTTATCGTCTACAATCCCCTTCTTCCCTTTCCCGCTTTTCCTTCCCCTCCCCCCAGCTAAAGAATTCAGATCACGAAGAAAAAGAAACTCATGACGTTAAAGTCTTTGATTATGGACTATATATCTTATAAAGATATCAGATTATCTTATAATTTGATTGTATGTAAAATTGTTTTTGACAAGTATGTGGTGTTTCTGGCTGCGGACATAGGTTTAGTGAGCTCATTTTAACTTGTGCTTCCCAGCTTCCTGCATCCACAACACCAGCCTCCTCTTCAAAGCACCAAATTAATTTCAAAAGCATAGCATCTATGTATTTTAAGAGTAACAGATTATGGGACGTAAGACCCATCATGCATCTATGTATTTGCATTGCAAAATTCAAATGCATCTATGTACAAAAAAGTTTATTTATAGATTTAGAAAGGCAGATGGTATTAGTATTCCAAGAAAAGTTTAGGGAATCTATCCTCCTTTTTAAAGCAAAAGAAAGGTTGGAGTGTCTAAGGTTTTCTTAGGATTAGATAGTAATCTTAAAAAAAATAAGAAACTAAAAAAAACATAGATAAATGTAAACATTTTCGAAGAACAAACAAAAAATCAGTAAAAAGAATTTTGGGAAAGGGCGTAAAATTTGGAAACGGAAAATCACACAAGTAAATGTCAGGTTTGGAAATACAAACAAAAAACCAGTAACACTAAGTGAACAAAAGGTTATAAACATCAAAATCATGCTTCACACATCCTATCTTGGAAGTACGTTCGCAAGAAAATGAAGTATTCGAACAAGCCGGTCTTGCAAATTGACCATAAATGTGCTCGTTAAATCTGAAAATTGAAATGTTGAGTTTTGGGAGGAACGCATATTTGTTTATTTTATATCAAAGAGATGAAATCAAAGTCCCTTCAACCAATTCTTTTCAATTTCTTTTTTTTTTTTTGTTTGACAAAATCCTTGTCAAATGTTTTGTGCTTGGTACGTAAATAACAAGTGGCTTAGTTTGGTTTTAATAGGTTGTAAATACTTGGCCGTAGTTAGAGCCAAATTTCTCCCTGGAAATCACTGGTAAGACCTATTTCCATCATAACTTGGAATCCTAATAGTTCAATTTCGAAACAAAAATTTTGAGGGATCGCATTACAATATTCTTCAGAAACTGGCACGAATGTGCACTTGAAATATATTAAAGTTTCATCTATTTTCTATACCGCACATATGTCAGCATAATCACTTTTTCTGCTTCTAAGTAAAGTAATTAATTCTTTTCCAAATAAGCTAACTGTCATTATTTACATTTAATGCGATGCTATTGAATTTGTAACAAACTATAGATACTGACAATTTACAAACACTCCTTGAAGTTATTAGCTTAAATCTTTTAGGAGTTTTTAGTTCAAAGGAGGAAGATAAACAACTTATTGCACAGTTTTCCCTGTTGCAAAATCTAAGGTATGATAGATTTTCTAATTTTTTATTTCAAGCATTAATACTTGAAAATTTGTGAGTGTTCAGTCTAAATTTTTTTACAGGTTCGGTTACCTTCGATGGCCTATTAATTATTTTGGAATCATGATTGAATTAGTTTCTTGTCATATCTTGGGAACTTTCATTATAGAGGTATCTCCAATTTCATTTGATTCATTTCATTGTTTATCTTTTTTTTACAGGTCCAATCTTTTTGCATATTTGCCTACGTCTGGTTTATCTCTGTAACACCCTAGAGGTCTATTGGTAAGGAAATTTTGTAATTTAGAGGCAAAATATCTCATTTGTAATTGATTATTTTGAAAAAAAAATAATTGAAAGAAAAGGTTTTGGATCTAGATATTCCAACCCAGTGATGTAAAATTTGTGACGACATTCGAGTTTTACTATCTTCATTCCTTTGAAGAAAGTTTTGCTGATTCACAACTATTATTACTTCCCTCTTCTAAAGATTTTTGTTCTTTTTTCCTTTTAAATGTGAAAACTAAACTTTAGTTTGTTGTTTCTCCAACATAGATTGAGTACATAGGGCTAACGATATTCCAATGATTCTTATTAAGGTCCTTATGAGAAAACAGAAATTAATTAAATACCTTTTATTTAGTAACACGATTTAGCACTTTTCTTATGTACCATAAATTAGCTAACCAACATTTACCGGTCAGAAATGAAATAATAGTAACTAGTAAAGATAGATTCTATGTCAATACTATGAATAGTTCCAATTTCTTAAAACCATATATCCGATATTCCACTACGGTAAAGATATATGCTTTTATTTTGACATTTTGAACAATGTTGTCCAAATGAATTAGGGTCATGACTTCAAGTTCAACTGCTAATGGGAGCCCTTTGGCTAATCAATCTGCTGCTGAGAATTCAGTGAAGAGTATTGCCCCAGTAGTTGCATCAACTCAGGGAGAAAGTTCAAAACCATCATTGGTCAAGGGACCTACTTCAGCTTATATTGGAGTGAACAAGTTAGTGCCATATATATTATCTTTCATTCTAGCTGCTAATTACGAACAATAGCTATGGATTTATCCTAAATCCATAATTTTTTTTAACTTAAGACAAAAATTTAGGTAAAAAATGGATTTAGGATAAATTTTGATGGCATTATTGACACTTGAAATCCAAAATGTAGGGTCAGAGGCAAAGATCATGTGTATACCTCCTTTGCCTATGTCAAAACGAGAGGTCGCTCAGGTAAAGTTTGAGACTTGTGACTAATATGCAGTTACAAGAAGATTATGTTAGCTGGCATTGCCAAGAAATATATATCCTATATACTAACATTTTCACCCCTTTTTCCTGTCTGTCTTTTTGCAGTGTATTTGGGTGAGTGAAAGCAATTTATAGTCTCCAACTGCCAAGGGATTAATTGAACTTCATTTCTTGTTTTTCCTTTTCTTTTTGTTTAATAATGGGCCTGTTTTATCATTACTAGTTGCTCATACTGGCTAGAGTTTATCTTGAGCAGGTAGATATGCTGATGAAGAGGAGGCTGCAAGGGTTCATGACATTGTCACTCTAAAGTGCTCCGGAGCAAGAGCAAGATTGAATTTCCCGGTATATTTATATATGCAGCTCTTTCTCAATTGTTTCTGCATGTGTTTGTTTTGTGCAGATTTCGTGTGTCTGCTTTGCATCAGAATTCTTGGTTTGAAACTCTTGGAATTAGGTCTTTCCTTCAAATCTTGTGGTATATATTGTAGGCAAGTCATTACCAGGACATAATGAGAATGATGAGAGACATGGATGATGAGGAGGTGCTCGCTCATGTTAGAAGGTAAGTACACCTTCCAAAAAAAAGAAAAGAAAAAAGCTTACTTTTTTTTTGGTAATTAAAAAAAAAGCAGCTTACTTCTGCCATAAAGTTAAGCTTGATTTTATTAGTTTTTAGAGAAAATTACAGTTTTGGTACCAAATATTTTGAATATCGGCAGTTTTAGTTTTTAAAGTTTGGATGAAAACAAATTTAGTACCAAATGTTTCAATTGTTAATACATTTAGTCCAATTGTCCGGTTCTGGTAAATTGTTACCGGAATATGGTTGTGTGAGTAGCATGTACCAGCGGCTAAATTTAAATAAAATTTTTAAAATTTTTTGGTCGCCATAATATGTAATTAAAGGGTACTAATTAGTCATACTCTGAGTAATTAGTCTTAAAAATTAGTGCCCTTTAATTAGACTAATTACTCAGCATATGACTAATTAGTGCCCATTAATTATAAATTATGCCCACCAACATTTTTATCTTTCTTTCTTCTTTTTTTTTTCAAAATTCAGCCATTGGCACGTGCTACTCACATGACCAAATTCCGGCAATAATTTTTCAAAACCAATCAATTGGTCTAAATGTACTTAAAAATTGAAACATTTGGTGCTAAATTTGCTTTCATCCAAATTTTAGGAACTCAAATTGCCGATGCCCCAAACTTTTGTTGCTAAAACTACAATTTTCCGGTAACATTTCCAAGTTCCCTCTAAATGTTATCTATAAAACTTATTAGTCTTTTGAGTCTTTTATTTTAGAGTACACCTCTCATATTCAACAACAGCCTAGGATCAACTTCATGATAATGAGTATCATTCTTCTTAATTTGGTGATAGCTAACGATCAATTTCATCCATAACAACCCAAGCCTACAAAACCAAAAAGTTCATACTTCTGCCATTTTCTGCTCAAATTATATGTGCTTGCTTGGAAAAATGTTCACTGTTCAATTTATGAATCATGACATTGTGAATGTATTTTTCATTTACTTCCAGGTCTGGCAGCCGATTTGCAAGGGCAGACTCCAATTATCGTGGAGTCACTAGGTCCGTATTCATTCTTAAAATCTTCTCTCTCTTTATTCTCAATTTTTGTTAGAATTTTTTGCATATACGTCAATTAATCACTATATTAGTCTTGCTCTCGTTTTCTCTGGGATTCGTGTATAATCGATAGTTATTGAATAGCAGGTACTTTCAAACCGGCGGGTGGTTCTCTGGATACCATTCCTTGGTGCATCAGGATCGGATGCCGCTCTTCAGATACTCGCAGACTGTGATGCACCTCCTATCCGCACATCCGAATTCCCAAGCTCACAATGCGTTTGATTCCAGTGCACAACACGTGTTTTCGCATTCCAGCTCCAGCCCCTTCAAGCCCTACGTCAAAAACTGACTTAAGCTAGGGCTAAAAGCACTACACATGAGCTGATTCTGATATGATATTCAGATTGGTAAAGATGTAGTGCTTTCAGATTTGGAGTGGTTAACTCCAATGTTGACAGCTAAACTGTGTTTTTCTTTTTCATTTTTCTTTTTTGGGATTAGTACTTCTGAAGTTTATGCATGCTAGCTGTGTTCTAAGCTTTAGACGTTTATTTAGTAGCAAACAACATGCAAACTTCTATTTTTGCTATGGTTTAATTTTTCTGTTTTTCCTGAACTTATGAAGCTGCATAATTTGGTGCAAATATTTGTGTTTCCTTATGGGTAGTTCTACACGTACGTGCATTCCAGCCGCTGGAAACATCTCAAGGTTGGGATTTCTTCTAGACGATTAGTGCTTAAGATAGGCATAAAACTTCACTTCTTATACTTTTTTCTTTTTCTACACTAGTAATAATTCATGTACTTTGTACGTGATTATATTAACCCAAATATAACATCTCTTAGAATAAAATCCATGGTTAAGTTTATGATGAAATCAGGAAATTTTAACAAATGAAAAATTTTCTATCAACATTTTGAATTTTATTTGTGATAATATTTTGAAACTTCACTTATTATACTATTTTTTCTACACTAGTAATAATTCACGTACTTTGCACATGATTATATTAATCCAAATATAACATTTCTTAGAATAAAATCCATGGTTCAGTTTCTAATTTCATCAGCAAATTTTAACAAATGAAAAATTTTCTATCAACATTTTGAATGTTATTTGCGATAACATTTTGAAACTTCACTTATTATACTATTTTTTTCTGCACTAGTAATATTCATGTACTTTGCACATGATTATATTAATCCATATATAACATCTCTTAGAATATTTTGATGTGAGTTAAAACAAGGCAAGAGTGAATTTTGAGTTAAGAAAAATTTTAATTATTTGTTCATGAGTCTTTTTTTTTTCTCTTTTTTCCTTTCCACGTATATTTTATGTATTAAAATATTTTTCGCTGTACAATTTTTTTTTTTTTTTGTTTGGTTGCCAACAAAGTGACTCCATAGTTAGTTGTTTTCCATTACGTACCTACTATTCGTCTTCTGCGACTGTTAGGCTCTGAGGAAGAAGCTGCAATGGGATATGACATTGAGACAACCAAAGAGAAAGGCTGGAATGCACGAACAAACTTCAGCCTAGCTCTGTATGATGTCGCCGGAATTCGTGCTGGAACCGCAATCCACCAATCACTGAAGAAGTTGCCAAGTACCTTCAGCCGGCAACAATGTGCAGGTCTTCGGGAGAAGATCAAGGCAACAGTTCGTCTGGACACCATTCCTTGGTGCATCAAGATCAGATACCGCTCTTCAGATACTCGCAGACTGTGATGCACTTCCTATCTGCACATCCGAATTCCCAAGCTCACAATGCGTTTAATTCCAGTGCACAACACGTTTTCGCATTCCAGCTCCTATCTGCTTTAAGCTTTAGACGTTTATTTAGTGGCAAACAATATGCAAACTTCTATTTTTGCTAACAATACGCAAACTTCTATTTTTGCTATGGTTTAACTTTTCTCTTGTTCCTGAACGTACGAAGCTGCATAATTTGGTGCAAATATTTATGTTTCCTTATGGGTATTTCTACACGTACATGCATTCAAGCTGCTGGAACCATCTCAAGGTTGGGATTTCTTCTAGACGACTAGTGCTTAAGATAGACATAAAACTTCACTTATTATATATTTTTTTCTACACTAATAATAATTCACATACTTTGCACGTGATTATATGAACTCAAATATAACATCTCTTAGTATAAAATCCATGGTTAAGTTTCCAATGAAATCAGGAAATTTTAACAAATGAAAAATTTTCTATCCACATTTTGAATGTTACTTGCGATAATATTTTGAAACTTCACTGATTATACAATTTTTTTCTGCTCCAGTAATAATTCACGTACTTTGCACGTGATTATATTCCCCCAAATATAACATCTCTTAGAATAAAATCCATTGCTCAATTTCTTATGAAATCAGCAAATTTTAACAAATGAAAAATTTTCTATCAACATTTTGAATGTTGTTTGCAATAACATTTTGAAACTTCACTTATTATACTATTTTTTCTGCACTTGTAATAATTCACGTATTTTGCACGTGATTAAATTAATCCAAATATAACATCTCTTAGAATAAAATCCATGGTTAAGTTTATGATGAAATCAACAAATTTTAACAAATGAAAAATTTTCAATCAACATTTTGAACGTTATTTTTGTTCTTGCGTAGACAAACGAAATATAATTTTACAATTATAATTCCTATATGAACCTCTACTGATGGTATGCTGATGGTAGAACCATCCTCAGAAGCAACCAATCAAAGGGACAAGGTTCCCTAAAGATCATAGACTTGTTGAAACAGAATCTAGCCAAGTGTCCATGTCAAAGGAGAAAAGATGGTGACGGCCAACCCAAAAGAGAACATCAAGTTGCAAGTCCAGGCACCCCTGGATACAAAGAAAATAATCCATCATATAATAAGGCAACACCTAGTCTTCTTGCGACCGCATTAACCAATGAATTAAACCAATGGTTTAATTTCTGATGAAATCAGCAAATGTTAACAAATGAACAATTTCTATCAACATTTTGAATGTTATTTTCTTGTTCTTTCTAAGACAAACGAAATGTCATTACACAATTAGAATGAATTAGTTATTTGAAAATAAAATATATGAAATGTGCTCGTGTCCAACTTCACATGAACATTTAATTATTCTAATTTATATCTTTCCAGTTGAACATTTCAATGCTTTTTTATGAATTTGAATTGAATAATCTAAGGTGCATTGTTGAATTTGGATTTTTTACATTTTTTTCTAAGTGTTGTTGAGATTTATAAAGAATGTAAATGATTTATACTGCTCAAATTATCTTATATTGACTATTTAGTTGTCCATTGAAATTCAATTGATAGCAATAGTTGGATTCTTTTATTTTTGTAGCTCTTCATATTGATAAAAGGTACATAATTATGCATTTGTCTTGTGATATATATTCACAACAAAATTCTACAATGAATATGGACTCTTTTTTTCTTATATATTTCTCTTTTGTTCTAAAAGCATCTATTTCTTTGATACTGGTATTTTTTATAATTTCAAAATTATGGCTAACGTAATTGGTCACACTATTTCTAATAAGAAATTGCTTTAGATAAGAAACTTTCACGCACATAAGAATTAGAGATGAGTGCAATGGTCACTAGATAGTTTTATTAGAGAGTTTTTTTATTTTAATTACTAACATTATTGAGATTTAATCATTTGGAATGTTTTATATTTGGAGTTATTACCCCAATTAAATGCCACAACTTTAACTGAAAGACAAGAGGGTACTATAAACACAACAAAAACTAAGATAAAATAGTTCTTACACTCTATAATGCCAAAACTCATCATATTTTTAACATACTTTTAACATAGTAATAGATAACAAATAGATAGATAGATAGACAGACGGACAGATGTTTTATTTACTTCTCTACATGGTGAAATAACATTTGAATTACATTTTGTGTGTCAAATTTACAATGTGTGCTTGACTTTGTACCGTCTATGTATTTGAGTTGGTTAAAATATACAAGACACATTTTAAAAAAGAATTCTTAGTAACAAACTCTAATTGAGCCCCCAAGTCCACAATAACATACAAATAGAGCTCAGGACTGGTATGGTTTTGCACCCAATTTACTGCACATTGTAGTTTCGACTATAGAATAATGTGAACGTTTAGTACTCAAATTTTTATTTTTTTGCCACAACGACTCAAATGATAATGGACGATAAATTCCTTCGCATAAATTACTGACCTAAGTAGTATGCTAATGCTAGATAATAGGAGATGGTGATGTTTCTCTAGCTAATGATCTAACTATATACCCAATTGCACAATTTCTGCCCAAGTATAACACGTTTCAATTAGCAATTAGATCTTGCAAACAAAGTTAAAGCCTTTTACTACTATTTAAGACCACGAATTGGGGGTTCGAGTGCAAAACATTATAACCCTAACTCTGACCACAATGGAAAGTGGTTACAGTTCTCGTTTATACTAAACTTAATGCTGTCACTCTAATAACTTACTCTTATTCTTACTGGGAACGAAACCAGGATTTGTAGAAAAGTGGCTGATAAGAGTTTATTTTACGTATTTTTAAGTGCATTTTATTAGTTAATTTTGAGTTGATTATTTAGTTTTATAAATAAAATAAAGAGGTTTTTGGTAAAATTATATATTTTTGGTAAAAGTGGATAATATTGCATTTCTATTGATTTTAATGGTAAAACTTCATTTTTATGCAGGAATGATGATTCAATCACCAAAGGATGTCAAATGAGGTAAAAAATAGAGATTTGGTGATGAATTCAAGTGGCAACAAGAAGAATGAAGTGAAAAACGTTCAAGTGAGGAAATGCAATACAAGTCAGTTTTGACACTCTTCAGTATTTTGACCATATCTGGAGCTACACTTATCGGATTGAGGTGATCTTTATACCATTTTAAAGCTAAGAAAGAGACCTACAATTCGTATGAAGACATCGAAATCCATTTCTGCCATCTTCATGGGCAAAACGTTGGAATACAGAAGCTGCATTCTGTGGTCGGAAGTTAAAACAGAGGTTTGAACAGGTGACAGTATTTCGATCATATCTCAGGCTACAAAGCTCCGATTTGGATGATTCTTGAAGCATTGGAAAGCTAACTCAAAGGGCTACAACTTTTGTGTTTTGTACAAAAGCTAGTTTGGCCTTTATCAATGAGAAAATCGCAGTTGAAATAAGGCCAGCGTGAAAACGCGAGTAGATAAAACGCGAGTTTTTGACGCGTTTTGTGTAGGCGCGTTTTATAGGCGAAATTCTGCAATTTGACTCAGCCAATTCTCTTGTGTTCATACCACTTTCCAGCTATAAGATGCAAGGGAATTCGGTGCACATGCTTCAGAAGACAAAAGGGCAAGAAAGGTGGCTTATTTTCAAGTCAAAAACATTGGTTATTGACAATTATAACAAAGTTAGATTTGGGGAATCAAAAGTTGGAATTTGACTTGGAAAAATAAGCCTTTGAGTGTTTTTTATGCAGAGATATAGGGAGAGGTCTGGACATCCATTTGTGAGCTTAGCTTCTTACAGAAAAACATATTCTCTCTACCTAGGAATTGCAAGAAAAATTGGGATTTCATTGTGTAATCATCTAAGTTGAAGAACAAAGAAGATTTTTGAAGGCTTCACCATATCTTGGCTAAGGCTTTCTTTACTCCTCTTGTATTTTGTAATTCATGATGATTTACATTAATGAAGTTATGAGTGTTTTATCATTCATGAGTAGCTAATTTTCTTTATCTAGGGAGTAGATGAAACTTATGGCCAAATGATATGAATTGATTGTTATTCATTCTTGTTATATGTTGTATTAACTTGTCTACTTGTGTATGCTTGATTACTTGTTGTTGTTTGATCACCAATAACAGGTTTATAGTTGTTTTTATTCATTAAGAAATGGTAAAAATAATGGAATGACACAAGTAGAACTTGAGTTGTATATTCATGAGAATAGAAATACATTCAAGTGGATGAAATCTGCATTTCATGTGTGAATAAGAACAGATTTAGTATTTACCAAGAGATTAGGACAAACCAATCTGTTTTAACCCATTATTATCATGAGAATGTGATTTTGGTATTTCTGGAAATGAATCCTTGGTTAAACAAGAGCAGTAACAAGTGTTGAATTAATTCATTTTAGATCTTTTGTGTCATAAGTGGAATCTACATCCCTAGATCTTAATATTTAGTGAATTCTACTCCCCTTGAGATATTGCAATTTTCTAGTTAAGAACTCTTGTAGTTGAATTTAATTCTAAATTTTCTGCTTAATTTTATTGTGAGTCTAAATAATAGAGTAAATTAGTATCTAATAATTGTTTTAATTGCTCCTCGTGGGATCGACCCGATACACATCTCGTACTACAATTGCGACCTGTATACTTGCAGTCCAACGGGTGTAAATTCGGAATTAAACTTGCACTTAAAGTAAAAACCCGTCAGTGGCAAAGGTGAAATGTAAAACGATTGAATAAAGTCTAATAAAAATCATAATCGCTTATTAAAGAGTTTAGCATAAAGCAAAGCATGTAATTGATACAGTAACAAATTCTCAAAAGGTTAATCAATTATAGCATAATATTCAATATAAAATATTTACATCTAGCAAAATAGGTATTAACTTGCTTCATTATAATCCACGAAATCTAGGCATTCTAAATTGTCCATGCTGTTCGTCTGTAGAGTGAAAAAACATCAGTCTAATTTAGACCTGTGCA